CTACTTGGGAGGCTAAAGCAGGAGAACTGTTTGAGCCCATGAGTTCAACACTGCAGTGAGCTATGATCACATTACTGCGGTTCTGTCTGTGTGACAAAACGTGATCCCATCTCTTAAAAAAAAAAAAAAACTGGAAGGAAAAAAAATTCCATCTGAATATGTACATACTTTGCACTTGCAATTCCACCCTAAACAACACAGTATTCACGCTATATTAGAGGTGACAAAGTGTACAGGAGGAACACGTGTATAGGTTCTATGCAAACATCACACCCTGTTACACCAGGGATGTGAATATCCTCAGATTTCAGTATCCCAGCTACATCCTGGAACCAATCCCATGAACACCAAGAGAAAACTGTACTTTAAACTCATATTCTGTTGCTTCTCCATCTTTTGGCTAAGTGTAAACTCACACTAAAAGATTAACTAGAGGTCCACAGACGGCATTTGTAAACCATAAAATAAAATCTTTAATGAAAAACATAATCCTACCTGATAGAATCCAAAATTGAACCAAAACAAAAAGTCAAACTTATTTATGTGCCCAAATTTCTATACTTAGCATTCATAAACTTAATTTTAAACAGCAGCTTAATACATTTTAGCGATTTAGCTATACTCTATTTTTATAAGAAATTAAATTTTCATAAATTATATATCCTGAAGACATAATGCACTTAAACTAGATTATCAGAAGCACATTAATTTTCTTAATCTAACAACGAGATTAAGACATTAAAGTCCAAAAGGTAAAAATACCTTTACCTTTAAAAATTGTATGTCAATAATGCTAGGGTTTATAAAGCCTCTTTCTGGTCTGAAACATGCCAGAACCACATAGAATTTAACAACTGTAGGCTCTCACTACCTAAACTGGTTTAGAGAGACAGACTCTACGCATTGACCATCAATCAGTTTGGTGCTGATGGGCCCACACACAGGCTCCACCCCCAAACAACACAAGGCAAAAATCAAAGGCCAAGAAAAAATTCACCTAAGCAGGGCTTTGATTTAATTTCTGCTCAAATTACTATAACATTGTTATAAGAGGCTAAATCATAATCAGGATGGGGGGTCATTTCCTGTTCATCAAAATAAATGCCTTTTAGGTGAGGTGCAGTGGCTCACGCTTGTAATCCCAAAACTCTGGGAGGCCAAAGCAGGAGGATCTCTTGAGCTCAAGATTTCAAGACTACACTGAGCAAGAGTGAGGCCCCATCTCTACTAAAAACAGGAAAACTAAGGCTGAGCAGAGTGGCCCATGCTTGCAATCCTAGCACTCTGGGAGGCTGAGGCGGGTGGACTGTCTGAGCTCACAAGTTCGAGACCAGCCTGAGCCAGAGCATGACCTGATCATTCATTCATAAATAAATAAATTTAAAAAAAAAATAGGAAAACTAGCCAGGTGTTTCAGACCAACCTGAGCGAGAGTGATACTCGTCTCCACTAAATAGAAAAACTAGCTGGGTATAGTGGCAGGTGCCTATAGTCCCAGCTACTTGGGAGGCTGAGGCAAGAGGATCACTTGAGCCCAGGAGTTTGAGGTTCTTGTGACTTAAGCCGATGCCAGGGCACTCCACTTAGGGCAACAGAGTGAGACACTGTTCTGCCCCCCTCCAAAAAATAAATGCCAGGCAGCGCCTGTGGCTCAGTGAGTAGGACACTGGCCCCACATACTGAGGGTGGCGGGTTCGAACCTGGCCCCGGCCAAACTGCAACAAAAAATAGCCGGGCTTTGTGGTAGGTGCCTGTAGTCCCAGCTACTCAGAAGGCTGAGGCAAGAGAATTGCCTAAGCCCAAGTGCTGGAGGTTGCTGTGAGCTATAATGCTACAGCACTCTACCGAGGCTGACAAAGTGAGACTCTGTGTCTAAAAAATAAATAAATAATAAATAAATAAATAAATGCTTTGTATGTACCACATGAAGCTACTTAAAACATCAATCCCCAAATGACTCAACTGTGCACACACTACCAAGGATGATATATGTTAATGATATAAAGACACAAGTAAGGCTGGGCACAGTGGCTCAGAACTGTAACCCCAGCACTCTGGGAGGCCAAGGCAGGTGGATTGCCTGAGCTCAGGAGTTCGAGACCAGCCTGAGTCAGAGTGAGACCCTATCTCTAAAAAAAATAGCCAGGCGTTGTGGTAGGTGCCTGTAGTCCCAGCTACTCAGAAGGCTGAGGCAAGAGAACCTCTTGAGCCTAAGAATTTGAGGTTATTATGAGCTATGATCCCAGAGCACTCTACTAAAGGCAATAAAGTAAGACTCTGTAAAAAAAGACACAACTAAGTTAATTACTAATGCTTCTAGAGTACCTAGCTTTGCCAAAACAAGAAAAAAAAAATCTTCAAGTTTGACATTCATCTAGTTTTATAAGAAGTTCTGATAATAAGGCTTCTAGGTTTTCTCCAACTAGCTGACCTCCATGGCCTTCCCATACTAAATTTTAAATAATAAGCTTTTTTCATTTATATGGAGTAAAAATAACTTGGTCGGAATGACTGGAGAAAGGATGTTTTGGAATACAGTTGATCTGTATTCCAAAAATTATGCAGATTACCAAATTCAGACTTAAAATATAAAACACAATTAATATCAAAACTCAATTTTTAAATAATTTCAATCTTTATGACTCTGTATAATACTTAAATTAGCACTATCCAGGTAAAGTGATAAAATATCACGTTCACAGATGTGTCAGATAAATTCATTCCAATATGACTTCCCACTGCTATATCATAAATAAGCACTAGTTCTGAATGCTTGATTTAGGGATTTTTATTTAAGTTTTAACCTGTATTTTCCAAGCACATCATCTGCTAAATCCTTTTCCTCACAAAGGACTTACTACTCCCTTCCTGGCTCTAAGAGCACAAGTGGAAAGGCAATGAACCCTCCAGACTCTGCTAAGGGAAACAGCACTTTCCTCCCCCCACCCCCACCCCCCACCCCCGTCCCTATGTGTCCCTGCGATGGAACAGGCTGCCAGAAACCAAAGATCCAACTGCTACAGCAATCACCCCAGAATGCTCTCTCCCCACTGACACAAACACACAAGGCCCATCGGGTGGAGAGAACTCCAAAGCAAATATTTTACTGGACCCGATTAAGAATAAAAACAGTGAGGGAAGAATTATATGAGCCATTTTCTACCCAGTTAGCCCAAACAATTAAGTCTTTTCTTTTTGTTGTTGCAGTTTGGCCGGGGCCGGGTTCCTGCCACCCTTGGTATATGGGGCCAGTGCCCTACTCACTGAGCCACAGGTGCCACCCAATTAAGTCTTTTTATTGCTGCCCATTTCTCATGTCTGTTCAATACTCACAGAAAATTTAGATATCTTTGCAAGCTTTAAACCGGTACATTTTACACTGTTTCTATGAGGGGGGCAAAATATCATTAGCCTCATTTGATAGCTGAAAACAAAAGGGTTAATGTCTTTCTCAAAGCCATTCCTGAAATCAATAGTAACTTCAAGATTAAAGTTCCAAATTCTAATATAGTCATTAGCCAGAGTCCACTGGCCCACGAAGCTGCCTAGAAGAGAGCTGATCTAAGGGCTCCTTATTATTATTTTCTGAGTTGTTCAATAATAATTTAAATATGCAGCATTATACACTTAATTTAAATGTTGTTATCCTAAGAGCTCATTAAGAACATTTACCAAACTGCTCAGTAGACATTTGGTTCACCTTGAAGATGGGCTTCTGCTGAGCTCCTTTGCTACTTGGGCACCTTGCAAATATGTGTCTGAGAATGAAGAATGGTGGTCACCCAATCAAGATCCAGGGGGCTGTGCTATAAGGGCAGAAGGGGAACATGAATACAACTAGGCTTAGAATGCAATCAAGTGTACAGTTATAGTCTCTGTCAGAAAAAGATAAATGGCCCAAGGTAGTAAATCCCCATAAATAAGGAGATAGGTGAGAATTCAAAACACCAGGGGCCCCGCCTTCTAGTTGTGAATCACTGCCTAAAGACATCCTTAAGAGCTTAGGGCACTACTAAAAATAGAAAAACTGTCTCTGCTAAAAATAGAAAAGCTAGCCAGGCTTAGTGGTGGGCACCCGTAGTCCCAGCTTCTCGGGAGGCTGAGGCAAGAGGATCATTTGAGCTCAGGAGTTTGATGTTGCTATGAGCTATGACACCACAGCACTTTAGCCCTGCCAAGAGAATGGGGCGCTGTCTCAAAAAAAACAAAAATAAATTATTCATTAAAAACAAAACAAAACCGCCTTAAACCTATCATCAGCTAGCACCCCTCTCCCCTTTCTTAGCAAAACACCTTGACAGAGCTGCCTGGACTCTCTGCAGCCAGCCTTCCTCTCAGTCCACTGTGTCCTAGTTTTCCTTCTCACCATCGCACCTAAATAGCTTTCCCCAAAGTCACTAATAACTAGTGTGAACATATAATTTATCATCCACACTGGAACACTTCTGAATAATACAGCCTCTAGTGAGTCAAAACACCGGATCAGCAGGTGGAGAGTAGGACTGTCTCACACAAACTGGGATGTGACTCCTGCACTGATATCAATTACCAGGGTCAATGGTCAGTCCACCAGCCAGTCACTTCTGTGGCCTACTAGAAACATCCAACACAGCTACCACCTTGCCTTGAAATACTTTCTTCTCCAGAACTAGCACTATGACACCACACATACCTGGTTTTCCCCCTCTGTCACTGGCTGCTCCATCTCCCTCATCTGCTAATCTAAAATCTCAAACACTCCAGATGGTGTCTTTGGCTTTCTTTCCCTCTCTACACTACCTACCAAAGTGACCTTACCCAGTTTGGTGATTTTATACCACCCGTATGACAAATCTACCTCTCCAACATGACCCCTTCCCACACAGACCCAACCCACTCAGCAGCACCTCCACTCGTAACTCCAATTAGTGAAAGTCCAAAATACAATCACTAATTCCTACCAACCCAAAAAGGCATCCTCATCCCATGTCTCCACCATCTCAGACAAGAGTACCATTACTATACTCTGGTTTCTCTTCAGATTGCCTAACTCTTTCACCTATTACTAAAGATTTCCACGGAAGAGAACAATTCTGAATCACAAACTAATTTTTTGAGGCCTTGCTTTGGCAAGGCTACATAAAAAAAAATAAAATAATTAAAAAAAAAAAAAGATTACCGTTACCCAGCCAGTTGGTCCGATAAAAACCCAAGCACCATCCTTCATAATTCTCCTTTCTCCAACTCTCATTCAAGTCCTTTAGTAAATTCCAATGGCCCTACCTCCAAATAGCCCCCAAATCTGAGCACGTCACCACCTTCGTCCATCAAACCAGGCCCAAGCTAACAGAGTCTCTCACTTAGCCTACCCCAAAAGGCATCCAGATGGCTTCCCAACTACTACCACTGCCCCTCCAGTCCATCCTCCACACAGCACTGGGGGACAAGAGAGCTCTGTCTGAAACTGCAGTCCCACACCTAAGCCAGGACCAGTGAAGGTCTAGGGGCTGTTCAGAAGCCAGCCAGGGGGTCAGCAGGAGGTGAGAGGAAAGTTGCTTCTGTATCACAGCCGCCCCTCACCACTCCCATCACCACCTGAGCCCACCTCCCATCAAGCCGCCCCTCACCACTCCCATCAGGGCCTGAGCTCACCTCCTATCACAGCCGCCCCTCACCACTC